TGTAACTTCTTTCTTTACTGAGAACATAATGACTTGTCTAAATTTTTACATAACCAAATAGTTGTTGCTATATCAGTACATAATTAAAATTTTGCATATTGCACCTTTAAAATACTGATATGTGGTGCCGGAGAGAATAAAAATCATCCACTTGCTATAGCTACTTTATCCTGTAGAGGGTAACTGGAGACTATTGAGGCTAACATGGGAGGCTCGAATCTCCAATTAACACATCTTTGGACTGTCGGAGAAAACCAGAGCACACTACACTATTAGATACACTTCTTCTCACCTCTGCAGAAACTTCCCAAATACAACAACTGCCTCATAATTGACCTCATATGCCTCTTTCTCTCTTTTTACAGTCTCCAGTGGAATTTCATCAAGGCCACAGCCACCAAAGCTCTGGCCCATGCACTCCTGTCCAACGCCACAATGCAGCTGTTGGAGTAAGGCCACTGTCAGCTTTCCTTGCCCTATTGCTAATCCTCACCTCCTCCCTACACTACTCTTTTCTCTGTAATTACATTGATCTCCCCAAAATTTAAAATCTGCATTCTGTGGAGGAAGTCTGGCGCTACTGTGAGCAAATGACTTGCTTCAGGCTTCTATCGACTAATTGGGATTTTATCAGCTGGCCAGCGGTTATGTCAGTCATCTTGTTATCCCCAGCTGTGACAACATGTGTGTGTTCTCCATGTCTTGCTGCAGTTTGCAAGAGAACGCCATCGGGAACGAAGGAGTCGTTTTTCTTGCTGAAGCTCTGAAGACCAACACGTCACTGCGTACATTATGGTTGGCATAACAGCTGTTGACAATGAAAGATTGAACACATTTTGAGATGACAAAAAACATCAAAAATATCAAAACTTTCTACAGATGTGACCAATTGTTGTGTTCTTTTTTTCCTGCCTGTTCTCCCTGTTTTCGGCTTTTCAGTCTCCAGGGAGTCTCAGCAGGTAAAACTGGTGCCATTGCAATAGCAGAAGCTCTAACAACCAACCAAACCCTGCAAACATTAGAGTGAGTCCGACTTTTCTTTTGTATCAAACTCTTCCTTTGTTGTTTGGCATTCAGCTTCATAAAATAGACAAGCAATTTATATCCATCAAGGTCTGTCCTGCTCCACGGTGCACCGCTGTTTCTTCTTTGTTAGTCCACGCTGACTGTACCCCAACAACAACAGGACAATGTTTGGCTCAAATGAGACCCAGCAGGACTGTTGAGACTGATGAGAAGCACAGTTACTCCTCTTAAACATATAATATATATAATACATTCCTTTTGAAAGAACATCTCATTTGTCCTCTTTGTTTTAGATACATTTAAGCCAGCGTGCGTCCATTTCACTTGTCCAGTTGTAGTGCGGCAAAGCTCTGCGTGTGTTTGCTTGGAACAGATATTTCAAGAAGGAGGGTATTTGCAGAAAATGATTGGCAGGTCATCAGCATGTACTCTTCCTACACCTAACTGCATGAATGCACCCCTCGCTGGGCTGACGATGCTGGAGGGATCTTTATTTGTATGTCCCAAAAGCTCTAGAACACTGTCAAATGTTCTCTTGATGAACAAATGTGAAGCCTAAATAGAGAATTCTCATAGTTCCCTTGCAGTGTTCAGTCAGTTGTGAATGAGGGATTCATGTTAGTTCTAAAAGCTCTAAAAGCTGTTAATCTTTATATTGTGTATTCTCTGTGTCTTTGTTGCTGTTCTGCTGGTATTATTTAAATATTATATCCCATAATCAGGGTCACAATATATTGCAATATGAACCTACAACAAGCCTTTATTAATCCCACAGTGGGCAAATTTGCTGAATGGTAAGCAGGTGATGAGACATTTGGTTAATGCTAACTATCCTGTTGACATCTTTGGTTGTTTCCCATTATTGACACTAAACTCATGGTCTATGAACCAAATCAAGCCCACAATGGGTTTTCTAATTCACAAAGAAAATAAATTAATTCACACTGTTCAACCCAGTTAATTAGAGTTTTTTTTATCAGATTTGTGTGTGTGTGTGTGTGTGTGATGAATATTGATATAAATTGCTTAACATGTAGTTCCTAGCTCTCTCTCATTTTACAAAGTGGTAAAACAAGTTATCATCCCTGTACTAGACTGTTCTTAGACCAGTGTTTACAACAACTGTCAATCTATTGCATCTATAATTGCTTTGCAGACTCACTGACTCCTCATTTGCTGAAATAACCAACACACTGGATTATTATATCCAGTCTTAGCCAAACAGGGTTTTTTTTTTTTTATCATAACAGGATTTTTTTCAGTGTCTTCTACAAACAAAATACAGCAAACTGCAACTAAGTGGTAAAGAAGACAAACCAAACTTGTGGGTGAACAAGCTTGAAGTATGTTCCGAGGCTAACAAAAGAAAGCATCTATGAAAGTAACGCATTGTTAAGTGGAGGTTGTTAGATGTTAGATGTGGCTCTTTGTGCAGTCTGCATACCACAGCTTATTGCCTCCAAAGCAAAGCAAAGCAAGAGATGGATCTGGAATCCTTCTCAGTATTCCGTTGTGTCCCTGACTTTTAATTGCACCATATTTTCCACTGTGTTCTTTAGCCTGCGTGGGAATGCTGTCGGGATGGAAGGAGCAAAGGCCATTGCCAACGCATTGAAAAGCAACAGAAGCCTCAAGTCACTGAAGTAAGGCCCAGCCGGAGCTTATCATGATCTATGTGAACCAACATGTCACTACTGTGGCTTTTCCCATTTTATTGTGCATAAAAATTGTCACGACCATTGATATAAAGTCTATTTTATCTTTTTAGTATTTTAATGTCACTGGATCAAGCAGAGATTGTACTTTAATTTCATTATAGGCTGACCCTGAATGCTGATTATATTGCATTTCTAAGAACAGGTCCAGTTTGAATGTATTTCTCATGATTAAGACTGAACCTACAGTGGCAAAGTCACTTTATCAGTTATCATCATGAGGTTGCAACTTTCTCCACGACTGCCAGCAGCTGGTTCCCATTTTGTCTCACTTATCTGTTCCACCAGTAAAGGAAATAACAGTGACTTTTAGAAATGTGAGTTCATGGCTTGGTTAGCTGCTGCGTAGGTCCTACAGTGGGGATTCACATCTACTAGCATGATTGTTTGGGAACAAAAGTCCAGCAAAATCCCAAATTTTGCGTTTGAAAATTAAAGGATCCTTGTCGTCTTTTTCCACCCGGCACATTTCCTGTTAACTGTGCTGTTGTGCTCTACTGGTTGTGCAAACTTTGCCATCTCTAGTTTCTGTAGATTCAGTGAGTCATAAGAAGCAGCATGTAAACAGTGTGCATCAGTGTCTGCAGCTTCAGTTCTTCCAGACAACTAATTTCTGTGTCTTCCAGTCGGACTTGAGAACAATTAGATTATGATTTATGTACGAATCAGATTCTTTGTAAAGCTGCAGGGGGCTTGTGTGAGTCACTTTGGTTTATGTTCACACTGTTCTTTGTTCAAGCTTGATTTTAAACTTCTGGACATTTGATTAAAGAAAGAAAAACAGTTTTACTCTGTCATCAGTCTGCAGGAGAACTCTCTGGGTATGGATGGAGCCATATTCATTGCAACGGCCTTGAAGGGAAACCACCAACTGACATACATCAAGTGAGTGTGCTTAACTATCTATCTGTCTACAGCTGTGATGAAACATTTACATAGACTTCTAAAGACCATGTATATCATGGCATGTGTCATATCACGTGTCTTTGTTCCAAAAAGAGAATCATGCATTTGAATTCTTTCATACATTTACTATATTTCCAATGACAAAATCTGCTGGGTCAAAAAACAAATGCATTCAGAATGATCAGTTTTACTGACACAGAAAGTTGTGTTAATCAGATTTTCCTGGTGCGATGACCTCTTAACTTCTCATAAGTGATTGACAACAGCTGGTGACTCCTCTAAGCTAATTTGGCCCATTTGATGCGCCCGTTATATTCTGCCACAAACACTACAGTGAGAAAACCTGAGGAGCAAAACCATCTATGCAAACATTTGCTTGCATGGCACAGCTGTGTCACAGCAGGACAAAACACAAGTTATCACCTGCTGCTGAGAGACAATTGGTCAGGATGGTCAAGAGTCAACCGAGAATCACCAAACAGCAGGTCTGCAATGAATTAGAAGCTGCTGGAATACGAGTGTCAGTGTCCACGGAAAAGTGTGTCTTACACTTCCATGCTGTACATTGTTGAGAGGCTGCTATACAAGAAGGAAGCCCCTCCTCTAGCAGCAAGTTTGACTGAGGTTTGATCACAAGGACATCGAAAGATCTGTGGTTTTATCAGATTTGGCCACAATGACCAGCAATATGTTTGTTGGAAATAAGCCAGTAGGGTGGAGGTTGTAAAGGTTGTTTTTTTCTGTTGTATTTAACCAAAACTCTATCTATCTATCTATCTGTCTATCTGTCTATCTGTCTATCTGTCTATCTATCTGTCTATCTATCTATCTATCTATCTATCTATCTATCTATCTATCTATCTATCTATCTATCTGTCTATCTGTCTATCTATCTGTCTATCTATCTATCTATCTATCTATCTATCTATCTATCTATCTATCTATCTATCTATCTGTCTATCTATCTATCTATCTATCTATCTATCTATCTATCTCTGCAGTTTGCAGGGAAATGGCATTGGCGAATCAGGAGCAAAGGTCATATCTGATGCTATAAGAGCCAGTGCTTCCGGCTGTGTGGTGGACATCTAACTGAGCAAAGAGCAGCCTTTTCTGAGGAAAGTCGTGCCTGCACCAGAATGCCAGTAAACTATGTAATTTAGTCAAACTCCAGCTGTACAATAGATTTATTTTTTAAGGTTCACTGTAATTTATTGTAATATTTATTTTGACCGTCACATTTGTCTTTAAGTCACAGTTCAGGTTCAAGACAGAAAATAGGAAAATATTCAAGAAGATACATGAATGGCACCATATTGTAAAGTGTGAATAGAACATAATGTTAAATAACCACAAGAGGTTCAACTGGATTCCTCTTTTCTGTCCTAATGAAGATGTTGTTCTGTATTTTTGCTGTTTGCACAACTGAACTGGTGTATAGTAATAAAATGGATACGACAGACAGCTCATAACAGTTTGATTCCACCCAGTTAAACACATTTATTTTAAGTTTTGGGCTATCGGTCATCTGTTTGCTTTATTTTGTCTACCTAGCAGCAGTTGTGTACCTGAAATCCTGATATGACTCAATGCAGAAATAACGGTCATATTGTTTACTCCAACACTCCTCTTTGAAGTGGAACAAATCTTTAGCTAAAAAATTGATCTTACTTTTTTTATTTGCGTGTTATTGATGTAAAAATATTTTCTGGAGAGAATAAGAGGAGGAAAGTGTATCTTGAGGGGTGCATATTGTCAAAGTATATTCATTAATGCCCTTGTGGACCATAACCGTGCTCCAGTTCATTGATTTTCTGAGATTATTTAGGATAATCAGGTGTGCGAAGAAATCAATGCATAGGACCTTGCTATTGCGGCAGATTCTTACATCTGTCAGGTCCTTCTGACAGGCACCTAAATCACCAGAACACGTACTGAAGTGGGTAATGTACAACTAAGAACATATTGCGTACATCCAATTTCATTGTTCCATCAAGATACACGCAAAAAAACACCGGCTTCCTGCAGTGCTAAGTAGCCAAAGAGGCATCTCTGCCTGGTAGCCAAGGCAACAACCAACATCATTAATCTGTAAGTGTGTATGTTTTACAGCAAAGATGGTATAGATGCTAAAAAAAAAAAAAAAAAGTTCACTCTGTAACCCAACATCTGCTGGGTTAAAAATATCTGTTATTTCACATATAATCTGGATGACATATGTAGTCCTTCCATTAGCATGGCTTAATAGACTGCTAAAAAAAATTAAACAACAGCTGAGCATGTGGTGTTTTGAATCAGAATGTTTTCCACATTGGTAGTTTTAGGTGAATCTGAGCATAGTTTTTAAAAATGAATTGTGGCAGAAATCACTTTACCAAAGCTTCACTTTCAAGCTAATCAGTGAAGAGGAAGGTGATGCAAGATTACAAGAAAAATCTGCAGATCTTAGCAGGAGAGAACAGAAACTGTCTTCAGATTGCTGCCACATGCACCGTGTTTGTCTGTGAGTTCACCATCACTCCTTGTTGTTTCGTCTTGTTCTCTTTTGGTTGTTACCTTGTTTGACTCTGTTCTGATTGACTTCACCACCCCATGTTCCAGCTGCGTCTCGTCACCACATCTGCCCCTGTGTGTTTGTCTCATCTTTCCGTTGCTAATTTGTCCGTTTACCTACTTGTGATTCTTCCCTCTTCTCTTCTCTCCTGTCATGTCATACCAATTGGTGTTCAGTCCATTTTTTTCTGCTTCAACCTTCCCTCTTGGTTTTTCTATTACCAGTTCCTGTAGTCTGGAGTCCACTTACTTTTGTTTTTCTCACCTGGCCTTTCTCCATGTCCTTTCATTTGTGTCCTCTTATTGAGCTCCATTAAACACATAAACAACAAATTGGTGTTGCGGAGCATAAATACATTTGTTTTTCAGCGGGTTAAGAGGCAATTTTCCTTTCAGTACATCAGCCAAGGAACATGGCAGCAGCTGATGGATGATAGCTTCAAGAGCGAAAGTGCCCTCACCCTCACTTTAGGACACCGCTCAGCTCGCATTTTTTTCTCTGGCTCTTGTCAGTTTCTTGTAACTCTAAATTATTCTGGATTAAACAATTCAAAAAATGCAATGCATACGTTGTACTGCCATTTCAGTACAGGCAGGTTTCTACTGTGTGGCTGCTTGAGGGCAGGTGTTCAAGCCTTTTGGTGATTTATTCAAATTCAGCAGCATGATGCTTTTTGACAGCGTGTTTCTACTTCCAGCTGGGAGTACAAACAGCAGTGATGCAGGATACAAACACTTCAACATCAGCACGTCTGTATTTTAAACTACCAACAAGCAGACGCATCCAGCATTCAAAGCCGAGCTGTGACAGTTCAAGAGCGCGACGCTTTGAAGTCACTGTACGGAACATTGCCTCTGACTGAAAGTCAACTATCCACTTCCAAAACGCTTTTCTTCCTTTTCCTTTGACTCTTAATAGTAACAGCGGTCTTGAAGCCGTAGCATCATCGTTTGAACTCACATAACACTTAGTATTTGAGCTGCACTGCCGCGTTTAATTTGAAAAATATCAACTCTGACTCTGTTTGAGACATGACCTCCTCTGATGACATGATTTATTAAACTTTAGAGCTCTTTAAATATTGACAGTATGTTGCTGTTAGCCATACATTTTTATTTTTCCATTTCTTTATCATTATTCATAAAATGAGGCAAACATTGATGTGATTTATGCATGAGAGCAAATCATCACGATTTTATTATAATAAAAGCACCAACATGAAGATTATTCTTGTCGTTACCGTCAAAGCGTGGTGGCGCAATATTATGAACTGTACTCAGTTTAACTCAGAAACTGTCTTATTTAAGTCTTAAGCAACGTCCCTGCTTCTAAATCTTTCGGAAAGACAAGTTAATGGAGGCTGTGGTAAGATCATCAACCCAGTTTTGCTTTTGTTTGTTGCTGTCAGAGAAATATCAGAAGTATATCAATGTGTGGTGTATGTACATGATCATAACATGTCCCAGGACCTTTGATACAGGATTGTAGGTGAGTGAAATATTTAGAGAAAGCGATGCCACCCTTTTAGCCCTTTAATGTGCCTTTAATGTACTGAGAAGAGGCTAGTGCTGAGACTCAGCAGCATGTGTCCATTTTGTCGTTTGGTTGTCTTTGGTAGTTTGTGAAACGTCACTCGCGTCCAGGGCAGGCAGATGTTTTTCTGCCAAATTGTTCTACTTAACAACACACTGCTCAGCCACAACAATAAAATCACCTGCCTAATACTTTATACGAGGTGAGTTAGAAAAGTTCCAGGACTGGTGTCACAAAAGATATATTTCAAATCCAAACTACCAGTTTTCCCCTTCAAGTAATCCCCCTGGAGTCCAACACACTTTCCCAGCCTTCTCTGCCACGCCACCATGCACTCCTGGAAATATTCTTCCAGGATCCTCCACAGCTCCGTCGTCACAGCCATCTTGATGTCGTCCACGTCTTCAAAACGGGTCCCCTTGATGACCCCCCTGAGCTTGGGCAAGGGGAAAAATAACTCTCGCCTCTTCTCGCACACTGAATGAAGAAAACTCAGCAGGATCTCTTTGTAGATGTGCTGGTTGATCATCTGAAGAGGAAAACTCGTAGTTGGAGTTTGAAATATATCTAAGGTGACACCAGTCCTGGAACAGGGCCAACCTTGAATTCCCACAATCGTCATTGAGTCTCGGGTGCTCTTGACTCTGTCACCGGTTCATCAGCTGTTCTTTCTTGGAAACTGACAACTGTAGTTTTGGATTTGCTCTGACCCAGTCTTCTAGCTCATCCTTGCCAATTTTTCCTCCTTTTAACACATCAACTTCATGAAGCGACTGCTCACTTGCAGCCTGATATACCCCACTACTTGACAGGTGACACTGCAACAAGGTATTCAGTAGTATTTATTTCACCTGTCAGTCGTTTTAGTGTTACGGCCGATTGGTTTTTGTTTAGTTCAACACTCTGCTCTGCACTCAGCAACATGCAACACGTTACTGTTGTTTCCGTGGCTACATTGTTTGCATGTGATCATACAGACTTTGGTCGGGTGTGACTTTGAATCAATCATGCAAATTAAACAGCACACACACACACACACACACACACGTACGCACTGAATCCATCCCCAAATGGCCTCTGAAGTCTATATTGGGATTTAGCGGCTGAGATGTTTTAACAATGTGCAAGGACACAAACGCATATAAGGTTTCCAACAAATGACCTTCTTCTTTGGTGTTTTCTTCACTGACAGACCTGAAGATTGGTGGAACAGCCTTTAAGTCACAGGCAAAAAAACAAACAGATGGCTGGAGGTACCTGGCTGTAGGAGTCAAAACCAGGCGTTTGCATATGCACACGTTGCACAGCGACTGACATGTACAAACGGTGCACATCCTGAATTTAATAAATCTGAAGTATGCTGTGTTTGTATGCATATTTTAGCCTTTCTTCATCAACGCTAAGATTTGTCCCCAGCTGCTGGAAGATTTTTTCCATCTTGTCAGCATTCAAAACATCAGGCTCATTTGTGTTTTGTTGGATTTTCTGATTGTATTGCATTTGCATATATATCAGTAGATGCACACAATAGCTGTAGATTGGAAAGGGAGCTTGATTTCTCAGCAAAACTTTATTCGTCAACTAACAACAAAGTTTAAAATAAAAGAAAGTTATGAGCTCAAGAGACCCTTGAGCTTCCTGTGCATGTATTTCCAATTATAGTTACTTTTGTTTTTAGCTATTTTTATCTTGTACATTGTTCTTCACTGTGCATATTTATGCTGTTGCATCAACCCACTAGAACAAATTCCTTGTATTGTTCAAACTATACCTGGCAATAACTCTGTTTCGGACTCTGATGTGCATTGGGCAAGCGATTTTAATAGATTCATTATTCTGTTAGTTGTACAGACAACACATTGCGATATTTCCTAAAGGAATATTTTTTTTAAAGTTACATTAAATATTATCATTTTTCTTCCAACACTCTCAACAAAGTAAATCCTCTGGGATTAGTTTTAAAATGAGATTTTATGAGGGGAGAGCTGAAAGAAAACTGATTATCACTGATTTGTCCATGAATAATTCCGTTTTACAAAGGAGCAGCTATTCAAAAAAAGAAAAGAAAGAAAACATCTTTGCTACTGTATGATCCAAACCACTGGGGGTGTCCACACTTTAACATCTTTACCTGAACAGCAGCACAGTGCACGGAGACTTTTAGGGACACAAAACAAGTAAACTTTGCAGAGACAACACACAAGGAAAGACAAGAACAACCCCTTCTTTGAATTCGTGCCTGATATAAACACGTGTTGAAGAGAATTGTTTGCCAGATTTACACATTACAACAGAGGTTGACCTGTTTGGGTTTGATGTATAGCTGTTTTGTTCTTTGTGGTTTTATTCATAATTGCTGACATGATGTGTAATTTCA